GTCATGCTCATCCCCACCCCCCTCCCCGCCATGTACACACCTGTGTGACCTCAGCAGGGTGAGCACCTCGTACTTGGAGTTGGTCAGGATGAGGTTACCCTGATGAGTCACGGAGTTGAGTCAACAGTTGTAAGCCATGAGGGCGACTCACGGCGGTGCATCGTGCCAACAAACAAGATCACATCTACTTGGCGGACCATAGGAAACCGCCAACCTTCCGCAAGGCTCATGATGGGCTCACGCCCGTGTCACATGCCGGACTGAGCAGCTGTCATATGCCTGGACTGCCCCCACCTGCGCGTACATCTCCAGGATCAGGTGGTACGCCGTGTCCCCCGCGCCAAACGTGAAGTCCACGACCCTGTCCACCCCCAGCTGGCGCACGCCCTCCAGCCGCCGCGTGCGCAGGTGCTTGCGCAGCTTCAGGCAGAAGTTTGAGGGCGCGTCAGGCTTGTCACGGATGACCTGGCGGGGACGGGAGGTTTGAGAGGGGCTTTAGGAGGTGGTTTGATGTGGCTAAGGGAGTTGGAGGGGGTCTGAGGTGGTTTGAGGTGGTTTGGTGCGGCGTGATTCAATATGAGAAAAGTTGAGGGATATTGATGTGACTTGAGGTAGTTCCAGGTGGTTTGAGCGAGGTTGTTCAGCCGCTTGACAAGGGGGAGAATGCCGCAAACGTGACACCACTCGGGAGGGCAAGCGAAAGGCGCAAAGCGCAGCCCAGCTGCGCTCTGCGGAGCCGCACTTGCCGCCGGTGCTGCGGCCATGACACCCCAAGCTTGCAAACGGCCGCGTCCGCGCGCGCACGCTTCCTGCCCCAGCGACCTGCGGGCCTCGTTTGCAGGACCCCGCGCCGCCGCGCGCGCCGCACCTGGACCGTGTGCAGCCTGCTGCCGCTTTCCAGCAGTAGGAACACTTTCTCCCCCTCAGACCCGCTCTTGGCAAGCTTCAGCACATAGGTCTGCGGGATGATATCATGAGGGGGGGGTTGTGGGCGGCAGGAGGCGCGTTCGGCGGTGCACCCCGGGGCTGGATGCGCGCGAGCGCCGGCCGCGCAGGGAACAGGGGGTCGGGCGCCGTGGCAGTGAGGACGCATGTCCGTTCTTCAGAGGACCGAAGCGGCCGTCCACTGGACCTTCTGCGACCGCTTCGCGGCCACAAACCGCCTTTTGGCGGTCGCCCTGCAACCACATTGCGTCAGACCCCTAGCTATCCTGCCTAGCTTGTGGGCGACCTTGCCCAATTCCGAGTCAACGAAACCAGACCACCCACCTTTGAGTTCAGGTCGTATAGGTTTGCCAGCCGCAGCCCCACCACGCGCTCCCGCAGGCAGGCCACCTCCCCGGCCACGTCCACGGACCCCATGCGCTGCTTCACCATCGCGGCCGCAGCTGCTCGCGCGGCCCCAGCCGCGTCGCCGGCTGTCTAGTGGTCTGCCGCTCGCGCGACCTCGCCCGCGCTTTTGAGGGGATGCTGGGGCGCGATGGAGAACAACTAACGCCCGCTGATTGCCGCCTGCCTGTGCCTGAGGACAGCGGTGACAGTGCAGGGCAATGTTGTGTTTGAGGCGTCGTCGCGTGCGCTGAGCACGGGTGCGCCACTGGTGAGCAGCGCTTCGCAAGCACACCGCCCTCAGCCAGCAGGCATTACATGCCGATAGAGCAGCAGCACTGAATGCTGTGCAAACTATAAAGCAATTGTTCACGCACGATTGTGCGCTGTGATGCCGCCTGGATCGACTATGGTGATCAAGTAGATCGCTTCTAGATCGCTTCCGAGCAGTAAACACAATTGCTTTCACACAAATTGCCATCAAGCGCTTGGCAGATTCGTTTAGGCAAGGGAAAGCTCGGGCCGTGTTGGTAGCAGGTGCGGGCGGCTGCAGTACTCATGGTGGGCATGCGTTTCGGCTGCGTGGTCATCATGGGCAAGGGGGCTACCACGGCAGGTCTTGTGCATGAATGGGGTACAAGTGCGTGCGGCATTGGGGCCCAGAGCATCGCCATCATGGGGCCAGACGCAGGAAACCACCGCGCCCGCGGCGGTCATGCCGTGAGCGCTGTGCCGCGGACAGACCTCGACACCGCTGACCGCCGTGCGGCAGCCGCGCTGGATGGGTGCCGCATTTCTGTCATGGTCAACCCTGTGGTTGTGGTCACCCAGCTTGATGGACTCAATGCACATGGGCTGGCCCTGATGTTTCTGTTCTTCTTCAGTTGATCCCCACCAGCCACCGTGTGGTGGCAGCACAGCACACCGCTAAAAAACCATTTGGGCTGCCATTGATTACAACCCGCGCAATGGCCGCTCCCCCAGGCAGATTTCGCACTGCAGGTGGTGAGGCTCGTTCGCATACGTGCACTGCGGGCACACCCACTGCCCCGGCCGCGCCGGGGCCGCGCAGCACGGGCAGCCGGGCGCTCCCGACGGCAGGCGCCAGTGCAACAGCGGCGGCGGCGCCGCGCTGCCGTCGCCACCGCCGCGGCCAGCCCCGGGGTCAGGACCGGCGTCGTCATCACTATCACATGCTGTCAAGTCGACGACGTCACCGTCAGTGGCGGGTGTCAGCCTCTCCTGCTGCTCTCGATGATGCTTCTGCCGTGGTTGCTGCTGCTGCTGCCCCTGCCTCTGTCCGTGTTGCTGCTGCTGCATTTGCTGCATCAGTCCTTGCTCTTGCTGCTGCTGCTGCTGCTGCTGCTGCTGCCGCTGCCGCCGATCGTGCTCTGGTCGCTCCGCACAGCTGTCTGAAGCCGCCGCTGCCATGCTTTGCTGCCTTTCGAGCCGCAATCGCCGCTGATGCTGCACGTGCTGCTCCCATTCTACCCGCACCGCTGCCTCCTGCTGCTTCGAACCCTCTGGCAGCGTAGCTGTCGAAGGATACCCCTTAGCAGCGCCGCTGCCGCTTGCTGCTGCCCGTGACGCTGCTGGCCCCTCGTCTTCTGCAGGCTCAGGCGTGTCACCGCGCTGGGCCACCGTCTCCTCCGCCGCCTCCCCCTCGCCGGTCGCGACGCGCCCGCCGCACCACACGTTGTCCCGCGCCCGCCGCTCGGCCGCGAGCGCGGCAGCCTGGGCAGGCGTGAGGGCCGCTGCGGCTGCTGAGGAGCCGCCCAGGCGCCGGGGGCCGACGGGGAGCAACGCTTGCTTCTTTGCGCGCTCCTCGGCTGCCTGGCAACGTTGAGCGTGGACGGCAGTAAAAGGTCAACGATGGGGTGCTGTCAGGAGCGGGCGCTTTCCAGGTGTGCATGTGCGAGGCCACAAGACCATATGCCACCCTTGCGACTGCAATTTCCTGCCGCCTGACATGTCACTCCAGACAGCACCATGCCGCGCAGGCCCGGTAGGTTACGATGTCAGCTTCCCTGCAGTAGAAATCCCCCGACTGCCCACCTTGAGCACAGCGTCTCGCTTCTTGTACTCTGGTGGGTTGTGAGTCGGGATGAAGCTGTACTGCCCCAGCCGCCCCACGCTCGCAGCATCGAAGCCCTGGCCTGTGCCGGAGACGCCCTGCGACGGGCGTGCGGGCGGCAGGCGCATGCGGCAGCACAGGGTGATGGCAGTGTGTGCACGGCAGCGCACGGCGCATGTTGCGCCTGAGGGCGCCCAGTCCCGGGCCATGACAACGCGCGCTGTGGGAGGAACGCTTGCATCATGCAGCACTGACTGCACAAGGGCAGCGGGGCAACCGCCGCGCGCGCGCAGCCCACACCTTAGCCATCAACTCCTCTGCCTCGGCCTTGAGCTGGCAAATCAACCCCAAAAACGACAGAGATATGCAGGGGGAGTGAGGGGCGGCAGCGGGAGCGGGTTGAAAGGGAGCCGCAACGCTGCTAAACACAGCAACGCTCTGCGCCATCTGTCTGCGTCTTGAACCATGGACGGTGCGAGGGCAGGGCACTGCAGTGGCAGCAGCAGTGTCCCACTTGCGACACACCCCACATGCAAACACACCTCATCCAGAAGCTTGTAGAACGGTGCCAGGTGAGGGCCTGGGCAGGTGAGTGATTATTCATGTTGGTGCATGAGACAGCGGAAGCACCGCTGATGCGTCAACGGTGCGAAACCGCCACCCTATTGCAATAGCGACGAGCCTCGTTACTACAGGGTTCAAGATGGAGGGCTTTGACCGACCCACGCCCCTCACGCGGCCCGACCACCCACCGTGCACTATGTGGGTCAGCTCATGCAGCATGGTCATGATGATGTGCGAGTCGTCGTAGAAGTCGGCCGGGCGGTGGTGGGGCCGCAGCCGGATGCGGATCTCCTGGCCGCGGTTTATGTTGATGCCCAGGAGGTTGGGGTTGCGCGGGAAGAACTCGGACAGGAGGGGGACGCGCCACTGGGGCGGGAGTGTTGGGGGCAGGGTGACGTGGACGGTTGAACAAAAGGGTCAGGATGGGGGATAATTGGACACGAGGTGTTTCTTGGGTCATGCAGCCCCTGCATGCTTCCAGGCCTGGATGTTGCCGCGACAGCCGCGTTTGGGCAAGCGGTGCGCGTGCTGGTGAGCATGCAGCGCCGCACCTGGCGCCGCCGCATGATGGGCTGGACTTGGCGGGCGACGCTCTCGAGCAGCTGTCGCGCTCTCGGCACGTCCTCCTTGCCGGACAGCACTTTGATTTCATGGACCTAGGCGGGATCGATTTCGTATTGTGCAGGACAGCAGGTAGCGAAATCCAGGGGTCAAAGGTCTGGCATGTGGCAAGGACCTGCTGGGTAGCTGCCAGCGCCGCTGAGAGCGGATGGCTACTCCTTTTTCTCAGTAGGCAAGGAGTCACACCACGCCTGGGCTGTAGACAGACAGCCCCTGGAATGCGAGCGGCACCTCGCAACGCCGAGCCCAGCTGCAGTTCATGAGTTGAAGCGGTGTCGCTCAGGGGCCCTATGCACCCAACCTCTACCGGCATCATCCCTTGTTGCATAATGCCACAAGGAGGCATCAAGCGCACCTTGTAGTCCGCCAAGGGGTCATGCGCCTGGGCCGAGCGCCTCATGGTGGGGAGGCAAGCGGCGCGCTTTGGCGCACTTGTCCGAATGCAGCTTGCTCGTGTGGTTGAAGGATGATGATTCCAGTGAAAGAATCAATCTCCGTCGATGTGTATCACCTCTCGTACGTACATGTGACAGTGGGTGTTGTTTGAAGCGGAGCACGGCTAGAAAAGCTGGGCGACAGATCCACCTCGAGCTTTGAAAACGCAGAGGCTAGGGCTGGAACCTATGATTGTGAACCCTCGCCTGCCGAGATTGACTTGCTACGCTTGCACCACGCTTGCTGCACCCCATGCCGCAAGGTCGTGCTGGGCGTGCTGCGGCCGAGTTGCTGGTTGCGATGCGCCTGATGCACAACGACGACCATCACGCTCTCTGCAAACCAGGCAGCACTTCCCGTGACCACAGCACTCCCGTGAAAGTAGTGCGTCTAGCAATGTGAGGCTCTCTTGCCTGGGAGTGCTGATCAGACCCGCTGCTCATCCTGACGTGCATCGGCAACCCCACAATTTACATGGATTGCAGCAAAAGCATGCATCGCAAAGTGGGGAAGGTTGCATTCTTCACAGGATTTCCGTGATGGCACCCACATGCGTCTGAAAAGGCCGAAAGACCGGGCCCATTGCAGGCGGGAGCGGCTGCAGGTTCTGAAATGCATGGGTCTCTACGCTAGGCTAGGAAGCAGCGGATGTGAAAGCTGTGTACAAACATAAACGAGAGTCCGCCTCCTCTCCCAAACAGGCGCGAACAAGGTCCACTGATCGCGCAAAATACACTTGAGCACACGTGGCGTGTTGAATCATCTGCTGCGGGCGTCATCCATCGTCTTGGGCAGGCCGTTCATGGCCGTTGCCTTGTTGTACAACTGCGGCCCCAGCAAGCGATGCAACAACAGAGGGTTCAGACGTGTTGCATGCGCCAACAGCTGCTTGTCATGCGATTTTCTGCTGCTGCTGCTGCTGCTGCTGCTGCTGCTGCTGCTGCTGCTGCTGCTGCTGCTGCTGCTGCACAAACGGCTGCTGCACTTGGCCTCTCTGCTGCCCTTGGCCTCGCTTCCAGACTGGCCACACTCCGCCGTCGCCTGGCGTTGCAGAACAAGCGGTGTCCCCTGCTGGCCGTGGCGCCCCGAGGCCCCTGCACCGCCCCTGAAACAACTCCGCTGCTCACCGCTCGCAGCCACGGCACCTCCAGCGCCCTGCCGACCCCCGGTATGTTCTTTGCGTAAGTCAGCACCGAGGGCAGGAACTCGCAAAACAGCAGCCAAAAGCCATAAGCCTCCACCAGCATGCCAATGATGGTCCAGCCCACAACCACCAGCACGGCGCCTCCAAGATAGAAAGCAGACCCCTGCGCAGGCGTGGGCGTACAGGGAGGCGAGAGGGGGCGTCATCTGTGCGGGCAAGCGGGCCCAGGGGACAAGGATGCCACCGCATCCTACCAGCTGCCAGCATGCTCATTTCTAAGCGGGGCGGCAGCAGCCGCCCGCCCGTGGTTGGGGGGCATCCTTGCCTGCCGGTTTCTCCGCCGAGTGAAGAACTGCAGTGTCGCCTGCACCCCGATTGTCAGCGTCATGCCCGCCAAAAACAGCAGCTGCGGGGAAGGGAACGCACGGCGGCGGCCGCGTGGGGATGCGGCCCGTGAGTGTGGGGCTGCTTGCAGGCTAACAACACGGAAGAGCATGGCATCACGTGCGCCTGAATCAGATTTGGTCGTGGTTTTTGTAACGAAACACACAAAACATCATTTGGGGCGCGCAGCAAGTGCATCAGCAGCGTGCGGCCGGCGCCCGGATGCCACGCTTACGTTGCCCATCGCCAACAGCCCACGGTCGAAGAACATCATGATCCCAAGCACTGTGAATAGAAAGCCAAAGGCCGCCAGGCCCAGGCCGATCTCTGCGGAACGACGGTCGGACGTGAGTTGGGCACATCCGGTTTGAAGAGCAGCAAGGGCGGACACAGCGCCGTTGCGAGCGCGGTCAGGGGGCTCGGCCACACCCACTTCGTTGATCATTGAGCCACCCCGATGCTAACATGATGCCGAACTGCTATGCACTCTGATAGCCCGTCCGTGCGTTCAACAGTGAAGCAGGTGCCGCTCCCAAGAGTGCGACACTGCTGCTCTCGTTCCGATCGCTGCCCTCTTGAGTCAGCTTGACTATTCTGATTGCACCAGTGCAAATCGAGGCTGAGTGGTGATCGACTTTTGAGCGGACAGCGACGCAGGCTGCTCTCGTTGTGGATTGCCGGCTGTGTTTGCTCGAAAGGGGCAGCAACGTAGAGTTTCAAGGGAGATTGCAGTACAGAAGACAACGAGCGAGTGCAGCACACGGTGCAGTAGCCGAGCCAGCAGCTGGACAGCAGCACCCAACTCGCAAGTTCCTCCAAACCACCTAGAGAGAGCTCTTATTACCCCACGCACCGGGACAGCATTACCATATGTTACCATAAATTATCATACGCTTGGTGTCGTGTCCTTGTAGCTCGACCACGGTCAACAAGATGTCGGCTCATAAAACTGCAGAGGGAAAGCTGGGGACAGGCAGTACCATAAACTCGTGGTGAGACAGAGAGCAGTACTCTTGCTGCTGTTGAAGGCCGTGTTGGGTGCACTTGCTGCCGTGGTGCTGTGGTGCTGGTTTGCTGCACAACACAGCGCGAGCAGCGGCGAATCAAAACCGCCGCACCATGCATCCGCCCCATGCGCTTGCCCACAGCATTGGTATGACCCGGATTGCCGGGGAGCTGGTGGCCATTCCCCACCCGGTGCCAAAGAGCGGGTTCAAGGCTGCGCCCGCGGGCACGCGGCCCGGCAGCGCCTTCAACGGCACCACGTGCGTGCGCTACGCCCGCCGCTGCTGCGGGGCGCCTGGCAGCTCGCAGGCCTCTCGGCCGCGGAGCAAGGGATTGGAGTGCGCGAGTGCATGGTAGACTGGAAAGCGTCGTCCCCTCCTGACCCCGCTGCCAGCGCTGCTCCCCGCACGGGCGGCTTGGGTGTGGATGTGATCGCCCCAAAACCGCAGCATCAACTAACGCACTCCATTCTAATTGTGTACGCGCGCATGCACGTCAATCTACCCCGTCCACAACACCGGATCCCATGCACCATCACGCTCTCCACCTCCGCCCTCCCAGAACCAATGCCGAATACATTAGAAAGGTCCGCGCCGCAGCCGACTCGACAGACGTGCGCCACAAGCGCCTCATGCCCTACAGCTGCTGGGCGCCACACAACAGGCCCAAAGAGACGGTGCGCGGCACTCGCTCCAACGAATACCTGGGTTGCAGGCGCGCGGGGGATCTCATCCCTTGGCTTGCTGGGCATTGGCACATGAAGGTCGGTGTAGCGGCCCTCCCTGGGCGGCCCAGCTGGCTGTTGCGAAACGGAGCCCGCGCCGGGGAGCCCAGCTGCTGCACGCGCGAGACGCGGACGGCGGCGCGCTGCTTGACTCTGCTTTGCGGCCGCAGATGACCAACGTGGTGGGCAAGCGGTACGGTGTGCACGCGACTACGCGCACCGAGCGGTACAAGGGTCAGAGCCAGGTGCGCCGCGCCGCGCCACAGCGCACACGATCGCCGGGCCCCCCCATCCCCACAACTCGCTGGCCTGCCTTGCTGCGGCCGCGCATCAAGCACGCGATACACGTTGTGCTGGCGCCGATCACAGCACTCTCCTGCTGCTGCTCCACCCTACTATCACCTACCTGACGCACACTTGCACGTACAACTGCACAACACACACATCTGGCGCAGGTATGCCTGTCTGACGCGGACCCCGAGAGCCGAAAGCCCTGGCGCACTACCAACCAGGTGGGAGGCGGCAGGGTTGACCCGCAGCATCCTATCAGCGCACACCGACACAATTCCTCAGTTGCAAGTGCCGTCGGTGCACAGTTCTCAAAAGGTGGCGAGGCCGCACGTGCGCGCTCCGAGCACCGTTGGAGTGTCGGTTGTGCATTGCGTGCGGTTGGGCTGCTAGTGCGTGTTGGAAGGGAGGTTTTCAAGGTGCAAACACCTGGAAAAAACTGCAAACACCTGCAAACACTTGCAAACACCTGCAGACACCCGCAAACGCGCGCAGGTGTTCCAGGCGTGCGCGCAGGTGCAGGATGTTGTTGGCCTTGCCAACGCCGGCATTGCCAGCGACATCGCCTCGCGCCTCCACAAGACGCAGGTGGGCCGCGCGGGGACGGGCGGG